CACACACACACACACACACACACACACACACACACACACACACACACCAGTTTGTGCTGTCCAAATAGTTTAGGCCCTGTGGTCCTCAACTTGAACCTGCTCCATTTACCTGGGGCTGCACTCTGGAAGAAAACTTCCCTCCCTGCCATTAGCATTGTCAGTAGATCAGTGGCCTAGGTCTTTTTTAAATATCCCCACCTGGCCTGTGACTCACCAAGCAGACCAGGCTGGCCTGGAATTTACACGGATCGGAGATCCGTCCTTCCGAATGTTGGGATTAAAGGAATGGCCCACCCCCGGAGGTGCCCTTCAAATCCTGAGAGGCATTAGTTTTTCATTTGCCTGTGACCTCGCCTCTTGGAGAGTTCTGGTGCCAGCCTTGGGATTGGGCCGCCTGCTGCTTAGGGTGCTCTGCAGGGACAGAAGGAGTGGCTCGTTTGGATCATTGCACTTAGCTTCCCAATGTTGCTGACCCACCTTCCTCCTGTTGCCCCTTCCTCATGTCTCCCCCACGACCCCCGCCCCTTTTTCTCTTGTAAGGTCACGGGAACTTTGTCCAGTTGTTTTCTCCCTTGCTAACGGGAACGTAGCTTGAAAGGAAAATCAAAGTCACCTCGTGAAAGAAATAGTGCTGTGAAGTGTGGCCCTGTTATGGGGGCCTCCTAGACCAGTGACCGAGCCAGCAGGCCACAGACCTTAAGTTTAAGGAGCTCACTGTAAACAAGCCTTTGCTTTGCCAACCCACCCGTACCCTCACCCCACCCCCACCAGGAGTATCTCCTTAATTATTCCTGGGGCCCGGAGTCTCCAGGTTGGAACCTGACACAGAACCAGGGGAGGGCTGCGCTGGGGAGGCCTCCCATGCCCACTTCCGCTCCCGAGACAGAGGGAGGAGCCTGGTCTCACTCCTGCTGCACGACTGGAGTCATGTTTGCTGCCCCGGTTTATTATTTTATAAGCAATCAAATGTGCTTTCAGTGAATGGCCCGCAAATTAGAATGCTCCGAATACCAAGGGCCCTTTGTTGCATTTAGAGAATGCAAGTTGGCAGTGCCCCCCCCCCTTCCTCCTCACCCTGTCCCTGGCCCACCATGGCTGTAGGCAGATGCTGGAGTGGGGGTGGGGCTGTCGGAATTTGGCTGGGTTTGCAGCTCCCGTTAGGTAACCGGGCCCAGACACTGCCTTGCAAAAGGGTGGCCTTGGTTCCTAGACCACTATTTACCTTCTGGGATTTACAGTTTAACTTCACCGTCCTTAGTCAGGGGGGACTTTTCATCAAGGGGACTGAGGCAGAAGAGGGCAGGGCCTAATTAGCTCTAATTAGTATTCCTCTCCTGCTTGTTCTCTATACTTATTTAGCTAACTGAGGCAACGGAGAATTAAGATACCTAAGTAGTTTGGCAAGTGGCCCTTCGTGCCTGCCTGCCCCAGTAACAACTTTTTCTTTTTCAGCCTGGTCATGGAAATCCTCTGGGAGGTTTTTAACAAGATCAGCAATGTGGGGTAATTACGCAGTACTTGAATGACAGGGTGTCTTTCAGAGGCTGTGTGCTGCTGGGGATGTGGGCTGGGGTCTCTTCACCGGTATGTTCAGTGGCTGGGTGAGAGCTTTGGGAGGCACAGACCTTAGGATTTGTAATGCCTGCGGCAGCAAAATTGCAGTTATAAAGTAGCAATGAAAGTAAGTTTATGGTTGGGGGGACTGTATTAAAGGGATGCAGCGTTAGGGAGGCTGAAAATCTTTAAAACCTCTTTAAAGGGTCATAGGCACCCATTTGTTGGTGATGGTTCTTTTTGCTTTGATGGGGTGTAGATTTTGGTCCACTGGGGGAGAGGAGTCTGCTTTAGAACCGGCCAGCTGACTCACCCAGTAGGCTGAGTCCGGCATCGTGGGGCCCCGCCTCCCCGATCCCTTCGGCAGCGTTGCCAGATGTGTCTCTGGTAGAGCCAGGACCTTCAGTTATTTTCATCCCCTACCCAGAGTAATCCTGGGTAAAACTCCTCAGATCACATCCAGCTGCTCAGAGCCTTGCAGGCTTCCGGTGCTGCCGGCAGCCCCATGGCCTCCTTCTTTCTCTGACTGCTCGCCATTGTCTCCTCACAGACTTCACATTGTCCCACTGGCCATGCATTCTCCTTGCCTGGACTGTTTTCCAGGTAGCCTCTGTCAGGCGGCTTCCCTCACCCCACAGGCCTCCTCGAGGTGTCTCCCACTCAGCCCACGGTCCCCAGCCGCTCTCTTCCAAAGCTGCCGCCTCATTCCCCATATCTTCTTCCCTACCTTGGTTTCTCTCCTAGGCATCTCACCCCAACCTGCCATCCCTCCTTGTTCCTTCTCCATTTCTCTCAGCTGCCCCTCCTCCCCCCAGTCCTTGCTTTGAAGTCAGGATCTGTCAGGGCAGCAGCGATTAGGAGGAAACATTCTGGGGGAGAGAGAAGACATTAGGAGGTATCAGGATTCATTGAGCTGGAATCCATGGTAAAGGCCACGTGCTTCAAGACCTGAACTGTGTGTCTGGAGAGGCTAAGTGACTTGCTCAGTATCATCATTTTTTTTTTTTTTTTTGTACTAGATTAGCCTTTCTTTCCCCATAGCTTTAAAACCTCAAAGAACCTGGAAGTCTTAGATCTTCACACCCAGTTTCCCTGTTATCAGCATGCGGCTTTAATTAGTGTGGTGTGTTTGCCACAGCGGATGAACAGTATTGACATACTCTGATTAACCACATGAGTTTTTACCCTTTTCTGTTCTGGGATCCCATTGGGGCAGCACAGTCCAAGGATCTGTCTTGATCTCCTGGCACCTCTTGGCTGTTTTATAGACAGTGATGTTTCTTTCTCTCGAGTAGGCGGAGTTTTATGTTTGGGGAGGAAGATTGTAGGTGTAACTGGCCGCCTCCTTTTTTCTTTCTCTTTTTGAGACAAGGACGCATTCATCCCAGGCTGGCCTCAAGCTGCCTGTCCTTGAGCTCATTCTTCTGCCTTCACCTCCTGGGTGCTGAGCTAACTACCCCGTTTATGTAGTGCCGGCTTGTAAACCCTGGGCCTCTTGAATCAGCTTGTACCAGCTCGCTATAGCCCAGCTTGCCATTGCCTTAGCGGAGCTGGCTCCAAGGTTAAGAGCGCTTGCAGAAGACCCGAGTTTGAGTCCTAAAACCCACACTCCCTGTAACTCCGGTTCCTGGGGTGCTGAGGGCACCAGCATGTGTGTGCACATACTTAACGATAATAGAATTGTTGAAAACATCTTCTTTGTTTAAAGAATTGGACGTGTGTGCGCATATTGCGTGGGTGTACATATGTGTACGGGCCAATGAGCATACTTGTAGAGAGCAGAGGAGGACATCCGGTGTCCTCTTTTACTGCCTTCTAACTTCCTTCTCAGCGCGACCGGGTCTCCCACCGAACCTGAAGCTTGCCCTTTGGCTAAACTGGCTTGCTGCCCGTCTCTGCCTCCCCACACTGGGTTTTCAA